TTGAAGAAAATATGATACTAAATATATTGCATGTTCTTATGCAAATTTTTTTTTGGTTTTATAATCACTGTTTTAAAAGCTATCTTATATTACAAAATAGCTAAAGTGATATTTATTTCAGGTCTATCCATCACTGACTATTATGATCATACTTACTGTAAAAGAAGGCAAGGTATGGAAGAAGCAGCTCCTGAAATAATTAAAAAGCCAAAATATAGTAAAGAATACATGCTGGGTAAATATTTTTTTAATATTAGCTTGATATATATTATGTACACATCACACATATGTTTACCTTGAACAAATTGTCCGATTAAGTAAGTCCAACTTTAACCTAGACATCAATCGACGGATCCAACTCAGCTGGGCAGCGTGTGAAGATTATGACACATCTTGTCATATATACCTCAAAACTTGAAAACAAGATGATACAACCAGTGCATAATGCCATTGATAACATATGGATCTGAGATGTGGTCCTTCATCGCTGGGCACATTAGCTCAAGGTCACTTAATGAGCTATAGAGAGTTCTAATGATGATATATTATTTTTATTATAAATTGCTATATTTAATAAGTATAATATTAATATTAGGAACACACATAGCACATTCAGGTGCAAGATGTTCTTTCCACCTGGATTAATACAGCGGCTGTTGTACAATAAGGTGGTGTGTATATCACTTGGTTTTATATATATTTTCATCCATTTTTGTACACTCCCCTTGATTTTTTTTCTTAAAAAATTTAAAAAGTTTAAAGATTTTAACTATTTTTTGCATCAGTCCTCTATGCAAAGGTCGTCTGGGAGAGATCACTTTCAGAGTGACAAGAACGCTTGTTGTTCATATTATACTTTAGATTGAACTCTACTCATTTTCCTGTATTTTGGTAGACAATTAAAAATAAAAATAAAGTTATAAAGTAATTATTTTAATTGCAGTTAATTTAGATGATTCACAAAATAGTAAAAGAGAAAATACTGGAGAGACTTCTTCTTCGAGCCGACCCATTCGTGTTACAACTATACCAGAAATATAGCTGCAGCATGGCTCTACCACGTATAAAAGGTAAAAAGGTGGTTTTCTAGTTTTCTATATGCTAGAGTTGCATCAAGAATTTCATCCTTTAAACAAATCAAATACTTTATTTGCTATTGGTGTAAAGGTTTTAGGATAGTTATATTATGTACTTACAACTAAATGGACTTTATCAGGCATTCTAAACTTAAGGGAATTGTATTAGACAAGATATAAGTAGAAAACAAATTCTTTGTACAACTATTTAAATATAATATAGTTAAATAAAAAAAATTAAAATGTCACAGAGTAAAGTTCTACTTAACTTAATAAAATAATGTCAATGGGATTCTCAAATATTACTAGATTAAAATATATTAATAAATATAACTAAATTTAAATTAATATTTTCTATAATTCCATAAAACAAATGTCATAATGTAAAATTTTAATTTAATATAATCATAATGTCAACAAACTTAATATTCACCCACAGAATAGAAACATTTTTGAAGGAGAAAGGTTTCAGTTTTTTATTAAATAGTATTGCTTTTCTGTGTGTTTATTTGTACCAAGAAATTACATATTATGGATCTTAAAGTTGTCTTTTGATGAAATGTACTCTGCTACGATAAATTAATAAATGATCTTAATTGATGTCCATTTGCTGGATGATTATTTAATCTATGAATATGTTTTTAATTATTGACAAACAAGTGCACAGCTCATCTGATAGTAAGGGGATAGATAAGTTGTAATTCATAAAGATAATAAGTGTCCAGCAGGCCTTATTATATTAGTAGGTATTTACAAATTATTTTATTATTTTTATGCTTGATGCTGATATATTTTTTGTAGACAATCCTTGAAATTGTGAGTTTCTTATACTTTGGTCAATGTATAACATTATGGGCTACCATGTAAAAAGCGATTAATGGAATATTGGGTTTGTGATTTTGTATGCGTAAGGCTAACTTTATGTCCTTTTTTAATTTCCTATGTCACATCCACAACTAAGACAAATCTGATGATACCCAAATGTTAAAATCCATCAAGCTGTTTGGGCTACAGTATGATCCCATCAATGCCCATCATATTGTTTATCATATAAATTTTGATAGTTTAGTTTTTACTTCTTCTCTGTGAGATTTGCAGTCTATGAATGTGTGTTTGTGGCAATTTAAATAACTCAACTGTATCTAAAGATGAACTTTGGGGTTTAATGTTCATTTGGAGTTGGAAAGATTTAAATAAAATGTAAATTGATTTTTCTTGTTTAGTTATTATTAATTTCATAAAAAATTATTTTGTAATAAACATGAGTAAAGAATGCCTGTTACATGTAAGTAAAAATACATCATGTAAAAGTAATTCTAATTTCATGTTTTTTGTTCCAGCTCAGCGACATGACGGAACACAAATCAGTGAAACAACAAAAAATACAGCTGCAGCAGTTGCTTTCTTTGACCAATTGTTCGACAGTTGCAATGGTTCGAGGTCTGGTAGGGCTCCAGGAAAAATACGAGGTCCGGTCAAACTGAATAGTGCCCACAAAGCATTTTGGATTGAAGCCATTAAGAAGTTTAAAAAAAATGCATTTCATTCCAAAAAATTCTTTAGAAAAAGCTACAATAAAAAATGTACCAACATTAAACAATTGGGTTACAACACTAGAAAGCCTAATAAGAGTAAGTGAAATAATGCAATCGGAGGGGGTCAGTTTCTTTTACACGAGAAACCTAAATCAAGACCCCCTTGAAAATTTCTTTGGCAAAATAAGAGCATATAATTATAGATATACCAACCCCGATACATTTTCGTTCCGAAACTCTTTTAAGTCATTATTAATGACGGACATGCTGGCCATCCACACAAAAAATTTTTTATTGTGAAGATGATATGGGGGAGACCATATTAAACATAACAACTTTATTGAATGAGGAATTTGCTTCAGATGAACAACCAGTTCCCGATAGTAATGATAATAGAAACCTTAGTTGTTCATCTGAAGTAAATTTATCAGGAAATATGGTCTCCTCCATATTTGAAGAAAAAATAAATGTAAATGCGAGGAGTTACACTTCAGGATATATTATAAGAAAACTGTGTCAAAATAAATGTAAAAATTGCAAAAAAACATTTTTAAATCATGAGGATCAGCAGCTTAGTGTCCATGATTTAATTGGACACAGAGAACGAAAGCATCTTAAAGGGAAAAATCCTATGTACCCTAGTACAAGATTTATTGTAGCATTTTCAAAATTAGTTGATTTAAGTAATGTGGTATTAAATAATACTTGCCACAAAGGAAATATTATTAAAAATATATCCGAAAAATTTATTACTCAAAATAATTTGGAATGGATAGGCTGCCAAGAGCACCATAACAAAATCAAAAAAAAATTTTTACTTCTTGGGGCTAAAATCCAAGTATTTCACTGGTGCCGAACAATAAACAGAATATTGAATGGATCGCATTGTGTAATTAATTTTAACGATGCACCATATATTCAAAAAATAGCACATATAAAATGGTTAAAATAAGGAAAATATAAAAAATTAAACTTTAAAATATTTTTTTTTTTTTTAATTCCTTTCCCTTATTAATATAACTAATAAAGAATAATGAAAATAAAAGAAATCGATAAACTCAATTCACATCCCTATCGCTGCAAAATCTATCGATATCATGGATAATCTATACACCCCAACACTAACAAGGTAGCCATCTAGCGGGAAAAAGCTTGCCCTCCAAACTCGCTACGGCGACCTACTGTCCTATCTGTCTTGTACATACAACTTTATAATTTGTGGCCACAATAACAGGTGTTCAGATTGCAGTAGTTCAGTTGAACATAGTGAGAGTTCGGAATGCCGTATCTAGTGCGTAGTACATATATATGGATGCAAAAGTATGCATGACACTTAGAGAATAAATTATATTACTTGAATTTTAATCGATCTTTCGATCCTGGTCTAATAAAAATAGTATACGCACTACAGGAGAAAAGTATGACATCGCAACTACTATGCCACTTGGATTGCAATGTCATACTTTCCTCCCTAGAGGCGTAATATTACTATTCTTTACTTTACTTTATATGTACTGTTGTTTCTTCATATTTAATCACTTATTTAAAAAAAAGAAAATAAATAAAACATTTTTGGTAGTATATATAAAACTTTAATACTAGTATTGTTCAATTCGAAATTACATGTAAAATTAAATGCGACTTGTGAAAATTAGACCATACGAGTGATGAATAAACGAAATACCTATTATAAACTTAAATTAAAGTTATCGCATAAAAGCGTCCCGGCAAATATACTCGAGTTAAGGCATCCGTTTTAGCACTTATTTAAGTAAAAGCTAGATTAAAACTCTCCAACATTTCATCGATAGTTGTTTACGATTGCAAAACCCATCTATAAGAGCGGAACTTCAAGAATTACTGATGAAAATTAAATATAGTTTTAAAAAAGGTGACGTTACACGGATAAATTGTCAATCAATATTGTTTATCCATTTCAATTCTATTTATTGTTACCTCTTAAAATACTCGTTAATATTAGTTAACTTATAAAATTTGCCGTGCTAATAATTTAAAATGTATAGTCAGCAGATAATCTGTAAACAGTACATTTAATAAGTGTGAAGTAAACTGTCTATGACCAGAGCTCCTTCGTAAACAACTACCATATAGCGAACGATATGTTATGGACAAAATTGAACAAATGCTGTTTTTATTATTCATTTAGGTCAATCTGTAAGCATTTTCAAACTCGATAAACATGTGAAAATATTAAATAATAAAGCTAGCTGATATACTCCGAATTCGAAGTAAATTCTAAACAACGCAACAATTATGGATCAAAAAGAACCTAAATATGCCTGGCATCCAACACATCTCAGAACATTTCCGACAATTTAATCCACAATCGCAGACAATAAACAATACAAGTTGAAGCGACGTGTGTAGATTATTCCTGCGCTGCCATGGCGGCGGGCGCGTTGGGCTCCTTGTCAGTCTTCTTCTTGGAACCGGAGACAATATCGTCGATTCGCAATAGAAGGATCGCTGTTTCCACTGCTGTTTTGTAGATCTGAAACAAGTAATTTTAAACAGGTCAGCAAGAAATACAAAAGGCCACTGAAGATGGTACAGCTTGCAATCATATCAAAAAGTTATATAGTCAAGTGTCAGTTAAGAAAAAGTAAAGTAAAGATACAGCCTATATACGCTCCACTGCGGGGCACAGGGCTCCCCTCATTTCTGAGAGGGTTTTAGGGCAAGGATGTGTCCGCCGCGCTGCCCCAATACGTGTTGGCGAACTTCACATGTCTTCGAAATATTTTTTTCTTATTCCTCAGACATGAAGGTTTCCTCACGATGTTTTCCTTCACCGCCGAGCACGTAGTAAATCAGCACTTAAAATTGCAATTAACAATTTCATTGGTGCCGACGGGGATCGAACCCGGGTTACTCGCATTCTGTTATATTTACAGCAAGCGTTAACCATCTGAGCTACCACGGCTCCAGTTAAGAAAATGTTTATATAATTGTAATAAAACAATTTAATTCAATCTGTCACAATTACTTTTATTCATACATATATTTGCTTGGTGGTAGTAGTACTTCTTTTCTGCCTATGATACCATATCGGACCACCAATCCATCTCTACCTATTTCCGCTGCCAAATGATAGTGTTTGCATTGTTGTGTTTCGGACTGAAGGGATACCCTTTATAAATGACAGGCTATGAGACATCCCATCATAGTTGTCAGTAATATAGACGATATTACCTATTGTGAAACTCAACGAACTAATTTGGCAATAATTTCTTTTATTAATGCAAATCTGTTAATGTTGCGCTATGGAGGTCTAAGATAATGGATCAAATACCACAATTTTCTTCAGTTTTTCCTTTATTCCCTATTTTTCACAATCACCAAAATCACTCGTTTTATTGCTCTTTTATCTGTTTGGGAAGTTTCATCACAATTGGTTCGGCTATTCTAAAGATTTGTTACACAGACAGACAGAGGTTTTTTTTTAAATCGTTATTCATGTTTTTATGATGCAAATGAGCTTAAAAGAAGGAAGTAATTATTTCTGTATTACAGACACTTTAACTTTATTTAAATGGATAGATATAGATGTATGTCACACATACTTATTCCCGACGTGTGACCACATAATCAGGAGACGTCCACGCGCCCACTAGTCCAACGAGGCATTAATTTTTTTATAGAATAATGGTGACATGCGAGCACAGCACAAACACAGTCCACATGTGGTAAGTGGACGCTGAGGCCCTAGACATCCACATGATGTGTCTTCCATTGAGTATCAAAATATAGTTGAGTCGTCATCCACGGAGGACTAAAATTAATGCCTCGTTTCCCTTAAAAAAGGCCGCCGGTTCTCTACACCCTTTTTACTCAGCACTCTGTCACTCAGCACACGAAACAAAGCATTGTTAAGCTGCTATTTAACGCTGGTGGGAGCGTGGTCTTTCTTACCCTGTCGAGCAGACGCAGTCGTGCTTCAATCATAATATAACTGCAGCATAGCTTTACCAATTTTCGTATTTCAGCCAAAATTACATACCTGCATCTTGACTGCAAGTGGTTTCTCGCACATATTTGGAGTTATGACAAGGGTAATAAAACTACGTGATTTGTCAAAAACTTCCATTCAATTGAATAGATGCAACAACCACTTTGTTAAGACCCGGTACAATATGATCAGCAGTTATCCTTTAGCCGACTAGTCTGAGGAACAGTAAAACTTCGTATCTGAGCCGGCAGCACATGCCTGCATCTTGACTACGAGCGGCTCCCGTATGGTGCGCACGGACATATCTGCGATCTCGCCGTCGATATAGTAGCCGGCAGTACATACCTGCATCTTGACCGCGAGCGGCTCCCATATGGTGCGCACGGACATATCTACGATCTCGCCGTCGATATAGTAGCCTGCAGCACATACCTGCATCTTGACTGCGAGCGGCTCCCATATGGTGCGCACGGACATATCTACGATCTCGCCGTCGATATAGTAGCCTGCAGCACATACCTGCATCTTGACTGCGAGCGGCTCCCATATGGTGCGCACGGACATATCTACGATCTCGCCGTCGATATAGTAGCCTGCAGCACATACCTGCATCTTGACTGCGAGCGGCTCCCGTATGGTGCGCACGGACATATCTACGATCTCGCCGTCGATATAGAGTAGCCGGTAGCACATACCTGCATCTTGACTGCGAGCGGCTCCCATATGGTGCGCACGGACATATCTACGATCTCGCCGTCGATATAGTAGCCGGCAGCACATACCTGCATCTTGACTGCGAGCGGCTCCCATATGGTGCGCACGGACATATCTACGATCTCGCCGTCGATATAGTAGCCGGCAGCACATACCTGCATCTTGACTGCGAGCGGCTCCCATATGGTGCGCACGGACATATCTACGATCTCGCCGTCGATATAGTAGCCTGCAGCACATACCTGCATCTTGACTGTGAGCGGCTCCCGTATGGTGCGCACGGACATATCTACGATCTCGCCGTCGATATAGTAGCCGGCAGCACATACCTGCATCTTGACTGCGAGCGGCTCCCGTATGGTGCGCACGGACATATCTACGATCTCGCCGTCGATATGGTAGCCGGCAGCACATACCTGCATCTTGACTGCGAGCGGCTCCCGTATGGTGCGCACGGACATATCTACGATCTCGCCGTCGATAGAGGTAGCCGGCAGTACATACCTGCATCTTGACTGCGAGCGGCTCCCGTATGGTGCGCACGGACATATCTACGATCTCGCCGTCGATATAGTAGCCGGCAGTACATACCTGCATCTTGACTGCGAGCGGCTTCCGTATGGTGCGCACGGACATATCTACGATCTCGCCGTCGATATAGTAGCCGGCAGTACATACCTGCATCTTGACTGCGAGCGGCTCCCGTATGGTACGCACGGACATATCTACGATCTCGCCGTCGATATAGTAGCCGGCAGTACATACCTGCATCTTAACTGCGAGCGGCTCCCATATGGTGCGCACGGCCATGTCTATGATCTCGCCGGTCTCGCTGTCGATGTAGGTAGCCGGCAGCACCTACCTGCATTTTGACTGCGAGCGGCCCCCGTATGGTGCGCACGGCCATGTCTACTATCTCGCCGGTTCGCCGTCGATGTAGTAGCCGGCAACACATACCTGCATCTTGACTGCGAGCGGCTCCCGTATGGTGCGCACGGACATATCTACGATCTCGCCGTCGATATAGAGTAGCCGGCAGCACATACCTGCATCTTGACTGCGAGCGGCTCCCGTATGGTGCGCACGGACATATCTACGATCTCGCCGTCGATATAGTAGCCGGCAGTACATACCTGCATCTTGACTGCGAGCGGCTCCCGTATGGTGCGCACGGACATATCTACGATCTCGCCGTCGATAGAGTAGCCGGCAGCACATACCTGCATCTTAACTGCGAGCGGCTCCCGTATGGTGCGCACGACCATGTCTACCATCTCGCCGTTCGGTCGATGTAGTAGCCGGCAGCACATACCTGCATTTTGACTGTGAGCGGCTCCCATATGGTGCGCACGGCCATGTCTACGATCTCGCCGGTCGATGTAGTAGCCGGCAGCACATACCTGCATTTTGACTGCGAGCGGCTCCCGTATGGTGCGCACGGATATGTCTACGATCTCGCCGTCGATGTAGTAGCCGGCAGCACATACCTGCATTTTGACTGCGAGCGGCTCCCGTATGGTGCGTACGGCCATGTCTACGATCTCGCCGTGGTCGATGTAGTAGCCGGCAGCACATACCTGCATTTTGACTGCGAGCGGCTCCCGTATGGCGCGCACGGCCATGTCTACGATCTCGCCGTTCTCGCCGTCGATGTAGTAGCCGGCAGAACATACCTGCATCTTGACTGCGAGCGGCTCCCATATGGCGCGCACGGCCATGTCTACAATCTCGCCGGTCTCGCCGTCGATGTAGTAGCCGAACGCACGTACCTGCATCTTGACTGCGAGCGGCTCCCATATGGCGCGCAAATTAAGTTGACGACAACGACTTTATTTAAAAAAATTATTTATACAAAATTACAGAGTTACAGCTTATAATTACTTCCAAAACTAATCCGTCTTACAGTTTAACTTAGCCTAATATTTATATTAAAATATCTCTTACTAAGCAACGCGTGCTATGACGGACGGCTTAATTCTTGTGAGTGCTTGTGAAGCAGATATTAGAGGGGTCATCATACTTAACCTCTCCCTCCCCAAGAGAAAAATTATCCGAAGGAGAAGAAGTTGACTTCGGAAAATTTTGTCTCTGACTTAATCTATGAAATTTCCATTTAAATACCATAACAATTATAATTAACAGTGCCACAACATAAAGACTTAAAGTCCATATACTTATTTTGTTCTTCACTAGGGTTTCCACCACCATTTCACTATTACTATTTCTAGCACTATTCATAATTTCTTTTACGTCACTGAAATCTATGTTTGTTAAGTCCACCTTCTTTTCTTCTTTCGTCACGTCGTAATGCACCTCTGGAATGTTCACAAGTGGTATCTGTAGACTGGCTTCCGACATGTTGCTCGATAGGCCAATGGTTATTTTTCCCATTTGTATGTTGCAACCTATGCTCGGCATCAAAATGTATGTTCCTTGTAGGTTAAATCTGTGGGTATCATCTTTGCACTGCTCCGTCAGTATAACATCGTCTTCTGCATAGAGTATCCAGTGGTCAAAAGTTATTTTCTGTATTTTCAACTTCTCTTTTTTTATTTGATGTGGATGGCAATTACTGAAGTTATTTTTAATCAGCATTATTTCTTCGATACATGTTCCTTCATCAACTGGTGCCATATTTTCCTCCGAACATAAGTGTTTGTTTGGTTCTATTTGTGTACACGGGCTTATTACGTTTCTGTATTTCAAACCATTCACTAATAGGTAGGGGTATTTAGGAATTATGGTATAGGTGTTGGTCAATTTTTTTATAGGGATAGGAATAATCTTGTAATAGATATACGTTTCTTTTTCTATTAATGGTATTTCTAAGATAAAAACTAATTTGTCTTTGTCTATATAACATTTTAGGATAATGTTACATTCTAATTTTAATAAGTTATTTTTTGTTACTGGGTAAATGGTTTGTGCGTTTTGTTCTATTGTTTTGAAAACATTTAGTAATTTCGTGTTTTCGAAATAGATATAATGTTTATGTTTGAAATCGATATATTCTTTAAAAATATCTTTGACAAGTTTTTCATTACTTAAAGGAAATTGAACTTTTAGTATATGTTGTCTTTTATTTGAAATATCTTTAACAGATATTTTATCGGTTAACCATGTAGAAACTAAAATTTGACGTGGTTTAGTATCTATAGCTTCGTTCAGGATAGGAATCCCTTCGTGTTCCCTGTTTGATACTGAGTTGGCTGTGACACCATCGTCTGATAATTCCATCAGTTCCATCGGTGGCTCGGCTTCGGTATCAGAAACAACTATAGATTTCTCGTTTTCCGTGACGGAAATTGACATAACTGACGTGGTTTTAGGTATTGTTGAGGCTGTTATAAAAAAAATTTCTATTTGTTCATATTCTCTTTCGACCGAATCAGAACTAAAATCAAATTGGTTTTGCGAGATATTAGGTTGAATGCTATTTTCGGTATCGGTATAATTTACGCGTCTTGAACTAACTGTCCTCATTGTGACGTCAGTATTAGAGTTCGACGGCACTTGTGACGCTCGGTATTGTCCATTGTTTCGCGAAAAATGCTGACGGTGTTGCGCCGATGACGGTTGTACTGGTGACCCAGTTTCAAAGTTCGTATTAAAGTTATTTCTATTGTTCATTGTATGATTATTTCCGAAGTGGGGAGAAATATTATTTGAATTAAATGAATTTTTTTGGTTATTCGATGAATGGCCGTTTGTTTGATATTGAAAACTTGGGCCTTTATATTTATTATTAAAATTGGGACGATTTTGGAAATGGTTTTGTAATTTTGTGACCTTGGGTTCCTATTTTCGTAAACTGTTTGGATGTTCTGTTCCTCTAAGACAATTTTTAATGCATCTTCTAGTGTGGTAATATTACGTGATCTTACTAGTCTCACTAAGTTAGCAGGTAATTTGTATAAAAAAACGTTTAATGCTGTGTTATCGTATATCGTTTGTTCTGCTTGCCGTAAGTCTCGATTATAAATACTTTCGTTTATTTTTGAAAACAAAATGCTTTTTAAATGTTGCACCCGGTGACAAAATTCTTGATAACTTTCGTTTCTATGTTTTCTAAGACTCTCTAGCTCCATTGCTAAGCATTCTTCAGACCTTTGGTCGCCAAATTGTTGGTTTAACAGCGACTTGAGGTCTGCCCAAGAGTCTATCTGCTCCTTTTCTCCCACTAAACTAGCAGCTTCCCCTGATAAGCGACTGGTAATGACATGAAATAAATTTTCATTTTGTATGTTACCCCCTTGGAACGTTTGTAAAATATATTCGCATTTTTTTAATAAGGTAATAACCTAGCATCTCCATCAAAAATTGGGATAATTTTCGTCATTTCCACGGGAATTCTTTTAATGTTTTCCATTTTAAAATAAAATAAGTATCAAAGTTTTTAATTATTGTTATTATATAATACCAAGAATAAAATTGGTTTAGCTAAGATCTATTAACAAAATTTTGATTGTTTAGTAGAAGAGTATTGTTATGGCGTTTTCTAATCCAAGACAATACCTACGTATAACTAATACAAGACGAAACAAAAGGAAGGTTGCGGGAAGTGAAAAGTTTTACTCGCAGTCTCTCAGGTCTACCCATGTCCCTCTGGGATATTGCTAGTTCTGGAGTCTCGATTGTTTCTGATGAAGTCGCGAAGTCCTTAATTTGTTTGTTCGGTGATATTCGTCCAAGCGTTGAAACGCACGTTGTCAAGATACTGGTACTGGATCACGATGATAACCGACGACACAGACTCTTCCTAGACAACTACGAATATCCTACCGGCTGCGCCAAAGTTGACGACAACGACTTTATTTAAAAAAATAATTTATTTATACAAAATTACAGAGTTACAGCTTATAATTACTTCCAAAACCAATCCGTCTTACAGATAACTTAACCTAGTATTTATATTAAAATATCTCTTACTAAGCAACCCGTACTATGACGCACGGCCTAATTCTTGTGAGTGCTTGTGAAGCAGATATTAGAGGGGTCATCACACTAAGCCATGTCTACGATCTCGCCGGTCTCGCCGTCTATGTAGTAGCCGGCTGCACGTACCTGCATCTTGAGTGCGAGCGGCTCCCATATGGCGCGCACGGCCATGTCTACGATCTCGCCGGTCTCGCCGTCGATGTAGTAGCCGGCAGCACGTACCTGCATCTTGAGTGCGAGCGGCTCCCATATGGCGCGCACGGCCATGTCTACGATCTCGCCGGTGTAGCCGTCAATGTAGTAGCCGGCAGCACGTACCTGCATTTTGACCGCGAGCGGCTCCCATATGGCGCACAAGGCCATGTCTACGATCTCGCCGGTCTCGCCGTCGATGTAGTAGCCGGCAGCACATACCTGCATCTTGACTGCGAGCGGTTCCCATATGGCGCGCACGGCCATGTCTACAATCTCGCCGGTCTCGCCGTCGATGCCAGCGCTGCTGGCACCCGCCGCGTGCCGCGCGCGCAGCGCTGTCAGCGTGCGGATCGTGTTCGCGCCGCAGTTCTGCGCCAGCGTACGCGGGATTATCTCTGCGAAACGACAACATTATAGGGAGTTTTGACGCGAACTAGACCGCCAAGGGATTGTTGCTTATGTTTTAACCTTTGAACTAGCTACCGTCCCTGCTTCGCGTGAGTAATATCTATTAATATGTCGTTACATTTAAGATAATAAAAAATAATTTTTTTAATCTGCAAGTTTTAGGACAAAATATCGCCTAGATCCTTCCTGGCATTGCTGTCATGTTCATAAAGTATTATCACCATAATTATTATATAATTTATTACAGAAAAGTAACCCATACAGACAGATAAAGGAAAAAAATTAAAAATGGTTATTTATTTCTTAGTAATATGCAAATCATTATGTGTAACGTCCATGTCACACATATACCGATGGTTGATGAATACACTAAGCTCGAAGTTGTTGGCGAGTATGTTTACCTGGGACAAATAGTCCGACTAGGTATGAGTAAGTCCAACATTGACCGAGAGGTCAATCGACCGATTCAACTCAGCTGGGCAGCGTCTTCAAAACTTAAAAACAAAATTGTACAACCAGTGCGTATTGCCAGTGATGACTTATGAATCTAAAACGTGGGCCTTCACTGCTGTGAATGAGCTATGGGAGGCCTATGTTACGGATTTCTCTATGTGATAAACTTAGAAATGAGGATATCCACATTAGAACTAGATTAACTAACATATCCTAATGGATTGGTAAGCTGAAGTGGCAATGAGGCGGCCGTATAACACGAAGAACCGACAACCAATGGAGAAGGAAATTTCTCGAGTGGCAGCCTCATAGCCGGCAGGCAGTGTGGGGTGGTGTTCAGCAGTGGACTTGTGTAGAGTTGTAATTATAATGATGAATATGCAAACAGCCCCCTGAGCTTATTAAAAACCAGTTATTTTAACATTACAGACAGACAATTTAATTTTGTTTATATGCATGTATAGAGGTTAGATAATGGTTTAAAGTAGATTTTGATACGTAAAAGTGATGCGATATTGTGTATTAAATGTCTGCGCACGATGAACTATGAGTGGGAATGATCAAACAGGTGCTCCGATGTTGATATTAATTTCAAGTTATTTTGTAAGCATCTTAAGAAATTGAGATACTGATGTCATCCACTGTTCGTTGAAAATTTCTCAAAAACTTCGCAATGTGACTTATTAGAATATTGTAAATTTTTTTTAATAAAATATTTAATGGGACGTCACGCAAGGGCTTATTCACAGACACTACCACAAGCGCAACGTGTAAATGTGTT